CAGGTGTTTTGTGATTTCCATGGTAATGAAATACCAGCATTGAAATGCCAGGTCCTTTCCTGTGCAAGGCCAAGAGTCCCATCACATTTTCCCATGACACAGAGACAATCTGGAAGGGGAAAACTCCTCCCTGATTCTCCTAAGAGTCTAATGATTTGTTGGGAAAACCCCTTTCCGGAAGCAGGAACCTGGCTTAGAGAGCTTCCTGGAACTGTGCTGCAAGGCACAGAAATGCTTTCAGGCTCATCAGTAATAAAGGAAATAAAGAACCCTGGATCCTAAACCCCGTGATATGAAGGCTGTGGGGTGGCTTGAGCTGGTGAATGCTTGGCACCTGGCCTTCTTCCCTTGCCTGCTCAATAAAGCTGTCCCCAGGGCACTTTAAGCTTCAGCTTCCCACATTGGCTGTGTGCTCATATCCTAATAAGCCAGGAATATCAGCTTTTTAAACTATAATGTTGCTTCAGTTTGGTGAGCATCCTAGCTCTCGTTTCCACAGATGACCACTGGGGGGGAAATCAGTTTGCTGCTGGGGGCACAAGTAGAACTTGCAGGAAAATATGGAAGTATGAAGTGCTCCTGTTTTTCCTTCCCACGCAACAGGCATGTTGTATCCTTTGGCCACTGCATGAACCAAGTGCTTTGGGGTGGTTTTACTCCTTAGGGGTGTGCACGTGTTTTCTAAAGCTTCTTTTGCTATTTCTACAAAATGTGGGGTTCTGCCAGCCTGCTGATCCCTGCCTTACACGTAGAACACGCACTTGGGCTACATAAGGACTGGCACTGAGTTTGCTAGTCATATATACAGGGATGCCTATTAAGGTATCTCCTTGAGGGCTAGAAGAGAATGAGATAATTCAATATCTTTCTCTGGGAAAAAAGCCAATATGAGTGAACAGCATATGCAATTGTATAAAGAACTGGGGTCCCATTGCCAGTTGGGTGTGCAGAGTTAAGCTGTGAAAAAGAGAGGGTGGCAACACCGCAGTATTTGTATCCATTGCTCCTGCCTTCTCGAAAACATGCTTTTTCCTTTTACACAGTGATTCTGACTTATATTGCTGTGATGCTGTTCCCCCATGGACTGAACACATGTTCGTTACATGAACTGGTAATGAACAACCTTTGAAAACCTGCCTTGTATTTTGTCATTGTTTGTCTCTATTTTGATTTGTTTTGCAAAGATGTCAGTCAGGCAATCCAGAATGTGGCTTCTGGATGATTCTAAATGAAGAGGAGTATATTAACAGTCACCTGAATTTGGTTTTCAACAGTCACTTGAGTAGTTCCAAAAAGGAGAAATAACTGCTATTTTATTCCATCAGAAAACTTATAATGGCTTATAGTAAAAAATAAAGCACAGTTGAATATAAATGAATATATAAATATTTTCACAGACATGAAAAATAACAGAGCAGTCTAAACGTATTGGGATACTGATAGCAGTCATTTGAGACTTAAGCATTCTTATATCAATGTGTAGATGTTGGACTCTACTTTTGGGATTAAGGCAATGACACAGTTCAGATGCTCAGTTCCCAGCTTGTTCAACCATGGTCTAGCAGCCAGGAATGAGTAACAGGGTCTTATGTGTCCTCCTTGTCCATACTTAGCCCCTTCCCCTCCTTACTGTTTACATTCTGTTTTAATATACTCACAGTTAACAATTATATCCCAAACAGGGAAGTGTGATTCACTTTAGCAACAAGAAACTTAAATCAAGTTGGTTTCAGATCCTGGTTAATAAACCACAGCTCATCAGCTTGGATGTCATGACTAGCTGCGGTTTAGTTAAACAAAGGAAAGGAGAGGGGAGAAAAAGAACCACATGTTACCTTTTTCACTCCCAGCTGCTACACTGTGCTTAGCAAGCCAGGAACTGAGCATTGAAGGGGGCTGTTCTGATCCTGTCGGCTGGTCTGGACACATTTGCTTAGCAGTGCCTTTAGGTAAAGTTCTATATCGTAACTGCTGGGTTCGGTCACAAAAAATGATCTCTATATTTATCACTCCCAGTGGTAACCTGTGAAACAGTAGATACCTCCCTTCTTGGTGGATATTACCACCACAGCTGTTTGGCTAAAAGAAGACAAGCATCTCTGTAGGTACTTGGCAAGTAGAAGGGTGCTTTTCAACTGTGCGGCACAGACATGCCACGCTCGGGTCTTTGCATTCTGCGCAGTACAGCATGGCTGGACCAAGCTTCCTCCTCTCTTCCTGCTGGGGTGTGGCAGCCACAAGGTGCTCAGGCACTGCTTTCCTCCTTGGCCACCGAGAAAAGCATCTAGAGCTGCACTCGCCATTGCTATGGGTTTATTAAGCAGAAGAAACGTCTGTCAAATGCAGGGCTATGATGGGACAATTTGGATGCCCTGTTTAAGTTTCACAAATTATTAGATGTATAATTTAGCTTTCTACTTCTAACTCAAAATAGGATTGTACTGATTATACCTTTCACAGTTCAGTGCTGAGATGCAACACAGAACATGTAGATTTCTTCCTCTCCGTTAAAAAAGGCACGGTTATTCCCTGGTTCCTGTTGTGTTTCAGTCTGTCTGAAGCACTGCCCATGACTCTGTCTGTCATGTTGTTTTGTCTGTGTTATTTGGAATTGTATTAATTCTCTGGTTGCTGAAGAGGCTTATGTTGTTCCACACATGCATTCTCTGGGATGTAGTTAACTCGCTTAGCAAAGCCACCTGTTCCTGCCAATCTAATCTTTCTGGGATTTTTGCTGCTCATATCCCATCAACACAGTTCATCCTGGAGCACCTGCCAGCTAGACTGAAGCTTACACCCAGCAGCTTTATACTGAAGCTGTTGTAACACATGGGCAGGCTGTGCGGACCCCTCAGTATTGTACTAGATGCCTTTGATCGAGGGACAATATCTTCCTTTCTTTAACTTTCTTTGTGTGCAGGTGGTTATATACAACATATTTTGTTATATGCAGGGGCTAAAATTTAACAGGAGGAATTAAACTGGGTGGAAACACATGTCACAGTTTGTAGCTGAACCAGTTCATGTAACAGTGGCAATATTCAGTGTTGCCTGTGAACAAGTACAGCCAGCTCTGCTGATTTGAGTCCACTCAAATCACTCGCACAAATAGTGGGTATTGCTTGCACAGTGGATTCAACATGGCTGGCTACTTCTGAGGCATCACCACTGGTTACTGCCCAATGTCCAAGGTTATTCTCATCATCATTCATCATTGGCTATGCTGCTGAGAGTTGCAGTCCAACATCGTCTAGAGGATACATGTGATTTCGTGTGTCATCTGAACCAAGGAATCCTAGTTTGTCCCTCCCAAACAAGTAAGATTCACAAATCAGTAACAAATGATAAGCAATGCTTTGACATCTTGGCTTGTAAAGTGATCGGCAAGCCAGGATACCTCTTTTGAACAGCACAGTCTTAATGGAAGAAGCCCTGTGGGAATGGATAGGTTGCGTGTTCTCTGTGACTGTGGCCTGTTTTATTTTTTCTAGGAGATCTTGATTTCACTTGTAAAATATCTCAGAAGAAAAATGTGTCTTGTGCATGATCATGAACCAATATTGAACAAATTTTAACCTTTTAAACAACCGATTTTAACTTATTTAAAGCTAATGATGTACATGGTTGTCCTTCTAACTAGCTATATTATTTTAAATGGCCACTATGATACTGTTGCTGTTTTATTATAATGTTGTATATGATTTTTATTCTTTGTTTTTGAGAATTGTGTTTTGATTATGGTTATAAGCCACCTAGAGATCCCTGGTGGGATCGTTGGTAGCATACAAGCACATGAATGAATGAATGAAATAACTAATAATGGAAAATGTGGTTCCTGTAAAGTCAGTTTTGCCATTGTGTTGATAGAGGCTTAGTGGTAGCCTGGCCTACTGTGTGGATTTCTTTTCAAAGATCGAGCTACAACATCAGTTCTAAACACAAACAGCAGATAGAGAAATGGTTTGTCTCCTCAAGACACTGTACAAATGATAGTTTCATTTTTATTTTTTAAAACTAGGCAACTCCAATAGTAATACTAAAGTCCCCCTTCCTCCATTATGAAACTTGAAATGTCACAGTTCCTTCTTGAAAGCTAAGATACTTAAGAGTTAAGACAGTATCCTATGCATGTTTAAATAGGAAAAGGGGTCTAGAAGGTACATTGAGTTGGGTCCTTAAACTGTTATAAAATTGGCTTTGCAGCTGTAGTATTGATGCATATATTTTTGGCAGCATCTGATGTCCTTATACCTCAATCCAGCTAAGGAATTATTTGTAGGCCTTTTGGTTGCTGGAGCTCAAAATTCAGATGAAAGCTTGAATGTTTGGTGTTGCATTAATTGGTACAATTTTGATCAATATGAATAGATTGCAATCTGTTGATGTAGCAGGCAGATGCAAGAGGCTTTTGCACCTATAGTAGCTGTGCAGAAAAGGGAATTTGCTGAGCAAGCACTAACTGGGGAATTAGGAAAGAAAAGTGGACAAGACATAGGATGGTCTTCTCCAAACTGGAACTTTCCAGAGGTATTGGAGCCTAACTTTCAGAAGTATTGGAGCCACCATTTCCATGATATATGAGGATGATAGGAGTTGTGGTACATTATCCCTTGAGAATGCTGATGTGGAAAAGACTACCATAGGATGAGCCAAAAGAGGGCTGCTATTAATGGGCTGAGTAAGGAGAGGAAGCTGTAGGAAACTTAATGAAAGAAGATACCTGGAAGGAGAGGCCCAGACAAAGGATAGGGAGACAAAGCCAACTGCGAACAGGTTCAGGGATTTTGGATGACTTGCTCTGCCATAGGACATCCTGAATGGAAAGTTTTCCATATTAATTTTCATAAGTGAGCAACCTATTCCTAGTGTAATATAATTTGAACAAATGTTCATGTGTTCTTCAATCCAGTCCAGGAACTTTGCTTTTTGTTTAATGTTATTTTTCCACTTCTGTCTTTCAGGGGATTTCACAGTTTTACTTAATCAAAGCTAATTTCAGTATGCTTAAACGGAAACAGAGTTCTAGGGTAGAGGCCCAGCCAGTGACAGATTTTGGTCCTGATGAATCTTTATCAGACAATGCTGATATCCTGTGGATTAACAAACCAGTAAGTTTAAAAAACCAGTTTTAAATATCAACCCTTTATAATATGAGCAAACCAAAGCTAAGCATTGTAAAGTCCAGTTTACTGTAAACTTAAACCATTTTCTTAAATATTTCTGAAATATTTCATTGAATTCAGTGGGGTTTAATGGCGTCTAGCTTTGGAAGGCTCAGACCATGTTTATATATAGATAAATATTATCTTATAAGAACTTACAAATATGTAATTTCATTAATACAAGCTTTTCTCCTCTTGGATATATATGATCCTAGAGCACTGAACACTCACATATTTGGAGAAATAAGTGGATATGCAAACAGTTGTGAAAATAAGGATTCAGGATGGAGAAACTTGAGCCAGAACTTGTTTGTTTTCAAATTAATTGGGAACCAAAGATCCAATCCTAGTGGTGTAGTGGTAAATTTGGTGTGCCAGTTCATCATGCCAGTTGCCTTAGCTATGTATCCAAGGTGAAGCAAAAAAAAAAAAAAAAAAATGGACAGGTGTGTTGATCAATATCAACTAAGCAGCTTACATCTACAGCAGAAGCAGGCCTTTTGTAAAGTGAATAGGTCTTAACTACCCATGCAAGACCAAACCACCCCAAAATACTTTGCATTGCACCACTATAGTTAATATAATGACTATTTTCCCCTCTGCCACTGTGCAGATTGCAGGGAAGAGGGAAACTGGAGGGTGTGACAGATGATACCGTCATCACAGAATCATAGAACGGTAGAGCTGGAAGAGGCCACAGGTCCATCAGGTCCAATCCCCTGCTCAGTGCAGAACTCCCAGTATAACCATCCCTCTCTGATGGCTGTCCAGTTGCATCTTGAATGGGGGAGCCCACAACTTCCCTAGATAATCGGTTCCATTGGTGTACAGCTCCAACAGGCAAGATATTTTTCCTAATATCTAGCCAGAACCTGGTTTCCTGTAACTTGGGCCCCTCGTTTCATGAGCTGCACTCTGGGATGATTGAGAAGAGATCCTGTCTTTCCTGTTTGTGACAACCTTCCAGGTACCTGGTGGGTGCTATCATACTTCCCCTCAGTCTCCTTTTCTTGAGGCTGAACATGCCTAGTTCTTTCAATCTTTCCTTAACAAGACTCTGTTTCCAGTCCCTGGGTCATCCTTGTTGCCCTTCTTTGGACCCTTGTCTGCATCTTTCTTCATCTGTGGTATCCAGAACTGAACACAGTACTCCAGACAAGGCTTACCCAATGTTGAGTATAGGGGAACTAGGACCCTAGTTCATGGAATTTGGAAGTGATAATTCTCTTAATGCAGCCTAAAATAGCACCTGCCTTTTGTGCAGCCACATCACATTGTTGACTCATCTTCAGCCTGTGATCTACAAAAATTCCAGGATCCTTCTCACTTGCAGTATTGTTGAGCAAGTATTCCCCCTCTTGTGGCAGTGCATTTGGTTTCTGTTTCCTGTATGCAGAACTTGGCATTGGTCCCGATACAATTTCAGCCCATGACTCCAACCTATCAATATCACCTTGAATCTTCTTTCTGTCTTTCAGGGTTTTAGCTACCTTCCCAGTTTTGTGTCATCTACAAATCTGATAATTGCTTCCTGCACTTCCTCATCCAAGTCATTAATGAAAATGTTGAAGAACACTGGGCTCCGGTCGTCTGGCACTTTCTCTCTCCTCCATGATTTCTCAAAGATAATAGATAGTGGTTCTGAGAGTTCTTCTGCCAGCTGCTCCCTGACTCTAGGATAGAGTTCATCAGGCTCTAGAGATCTCATTGAACCCAATCAGATGATCCTTGACCATTTGCCTTTCAATCTGAGAGCCAGTGTGGTGTAGTGGTTAAGAGCATGGGGCTGGGACTCAGAGGATCTGGGTTCTAGTCCCTGCTCAGCCATGGAGCCAACTGGGTGACTTTGGGCCAGTCACAGACTCTCAGCCCAACCTACCTCACAGGGTTGTTGTTGTGGGGATAAGATGGAGGAGGAGAGATGATGTAAGCTGCCTTGAGCCCTTTGTAGGAAAAAGGCAGGATATAAATCAATCAATCAATAAATAAATCTTGAGCTTCCATCCTGTTCCTTCAGCTTGTAGTTCATAGGTCATAGATCTTCTTTTGGGGGAAGACTGAGTCAAAGCAGGAATTGTTATCATTCTGGCTTTTTTGCCATCTGTTATCATTTTGCCACCCACATTGAGTAGTTGAACCTCCATTTCATTCCTCTGCCTTTTATTTTGGACATATCTGAAGAAGGCTTTTTTGTTGCTCTTAGTATCCTTTGCTAGCTTAGTATGCATTCCTAGCTTTAGCCTTCCTGATGCCATCCTTTTAATTCCATGCCACCTACTTGTATTCTTGCTTTGTAGCCCAGCCTACCTTCCTCTTCTTATACATGTCCTTTTGTTTGTTTATTTGTTCCTTTTCAAATCATCTCTACGCTTTTTGTGAAGCCACATGGACTTCTTCTGTTCTCTTTTTCCTTGTTGGAATTGTTCATAACTGTGCTTTTAGAATTTGCTTTTTTAAAAATTCCCACCCATCTTGGACTCCTTTTCTCATTAGACTCACTTGTCATGGGACTAATCATTGTTCTGAGTTTATTAAAATCGGCTCTGCTGAAATCCGGGGTTTGGCGGCATATGGCTTTTGCTTCCTTTAGAATCAAGCATTCGAGTATGGCATGGTTACTTTCCCCCAGAGTTCCCAGAGCTGCCACTTGGTCCACTGGGTCTTCCCTGTTGGTTAGCATCAAGTCAAGGATAGTCGTTCCTCGTCTTCCTTCCTCCACTTTCTGTTGGGGGAAGTTATCAACAACACATGTTAGGAATCTCTTGAAGAGGCTGTATTTGGCAGAATTTGTCTCCCAACAGATATAGAAGTTCCCTGCCAACCAAACCATTCCATTGCTTGGTTCCTGTGGACCCAGCCCCCCTTAAATAATTATTCAACCCTTTATTTCCTTACGTGCAGAACAATTGTGAAGATTTAGAAATAAATGTTACTAAATACCATGCAAGAAAAGTGAGCTTAGAAACTTCTTGAATTTTCCTGAATAACATTTCCCATTTTTTTTTAAGTTTGAAAGGCCTGAAAATAATAAGTCTAAAATCTTTTATTCACAAATGGGCTTTCTAGACACTTTAAGAGTTCTTAGAGGGTGGGGCAACCCTGAATGGAGTATAAGGGATTGGGAAGACTTCAGTGTGGCACAATCTACTTTTGTTTTTTACTAGAACTCGAGTTCTACCAAGATTTTACTAAAACTTTGAGTTGCAAAAATGCAACAAAGGCCAGTGGACCCCAGCTAAGAATTAAGGAGCTGGGTGTCTCTGTGCCTATGGATACAGTTAGTTCCAAAATAAAGCTCACAAATCTTCTCACACAAAAATCCAGTCCTGATTCCTTTCCTTTGCCAAACCCCACTGCCCCTCTTCTTTTTCATCACTCTGATATGGAGTGGGAAGGGGAACGCTTTTAGCGGTTGCTGTTAGGGTTGGAAACCTTTGCTGTTCTCCTGCAAGTCCTCCAGAGATCTAACACGAGATCCCAATCTACCTTCTGGCCACCCTGGGGAATAGCATTTGGAAACATATGTACTCTTAAAGGAACTTAGTTCCACATTTTTGTCTGTTTAAAAATAGTTTGCATCTGCACTGATGATGGTGGCGGGGTTGGTGGTGGGCCTGAGGAGACAAAGACGGACATGGTAGAGCAAAGAAGAGGGAGAATCTGTGATTTAGTTACACATAAATGCCTCTTCACAGTTCATTGTCTCCCCTGCCTCCCTTGACCTCTCTTTGAGAGCAGAATTTTGTTCCAAAGAGTAGGTCATAAGATCTCATTAAAAAGGATGGTTAAATGTCAGATATTGGTGCTACTGAAAGTGATGAAAGCCATGTTACTGCTTTTTATTCCTCAGTGGGTGCACTCATTACTACGCATCTGTGCCATCATCAGCGTCATTTCTGTTTGCATGAATACCCCAAAGACCTTTGAGCATTATCCTCCTCTTCAATATGTGACCTTTGCTCTCGATACGCTGCTGATGTTCCTCTACACAGCTGAGATGATAGCAAAAATGCACATCCGTGGCATCGTCAAGGTGAGTTTTCCAAAAACTATTGCTTTTTTAATGAACAAACATTAATGGTATTTTACATCCCAATTCTAAGTAATTAGCTAGTATATGTTGCACTGAGCTGAATGAACTCTATGTCAGAACATGGTATACCTCAGCCCTGAATATGTTTATTTGATTATTGATTTCAGAAGCAGAGTTTAGGACCAGGGACTTAGCCTGTTCTACACTTGTTCCATCATTAGGGGGAGGGGAACCCCCCTTTCCACTTTTATCTTGTGTTTATGTATGTTTTCACAATAGAGTGATAGAATGAGTGGGTGTACGCATACTATGTCATATAAAATGTTAAATAAAGTGCCAGTTTTCATTCCTTAGAATGTATAATCTGCCTTTTGAGTCACTGTTACAAATCAGCAAAGGAACCTGTTGTACCTTAGAAACTACAGCCAAAACTTTGTGGGGTTTGTTATATTAGAGTAACATAACAAAAACTCCTGCTTAGAAATGAACATAGATTGGTTTTCTTTGTCAGAGCTATATATGCATTGTACAAAGTGCTGCACTGAGATATTCCAGGTTTTGCTCCTAAGTTTGATATTGCAGCCTGTCTCGATCATGCAAATTCAGGTATCTTTGCCACTGTATTTTCCTCTTACAACTGGTTTGGAAGTGTGCTCTGGTCATGATCCAGCAGGAGGATTAACAAGTTTGCTAAATTCCTGCAAACCTCTGTTTGACTCATGTTTTGAACCTTTCCATGATTCATGTGACTCTTTATTTCAAAGTGACTGCAAAAAGCTACCTTTGGCTGGTGGTAGGAAAAGGCCATGTTAGCACTCCCAAAGTGCACTTCCAAAACCAAGCCTTCCAGACTAAATAAATGTAGTCTCATCTAACAAGAAGGACATCCTAGCACACAGCTGATAGGGATGCAAATGCATGTCTGAATGCATGGCCACCATGCAGAGCTCGTCTTGGGCCCACTGGACACATCCCTACATGGCCCCATCAGTTCTGGCAACCAGGTTCTCGTGGGACTGTTTTAAGTTTGGGTGAAAGCTGGTCTGTGGCCAGATTGTTCCCATGATCAAATGGTGAAGGACACTGGGAACAAAAGAGGGAAAGGATTGGCAGGTACTCTGGTATTTCTAGAAACCGTTGGACCACTCTTAATAAAATCAGTTGTCCTTTAAACATTATTTTCAGATATCAACAGTTTTTGTTTCTCGTTGCTTCTTGAAAGGGTTCACTATCAATTGTGAATGAGAAAAGATGAACTACTCAGGGTGTTATCTCTGTCTACCCTATTTTTTAATTACGGATGCATGCACCAAATTAGTATAGACAGAAATGTGACTTCGTTTTAGCAACCATATGCAGTCAGTGGTTACTCAGTCAACACTGGGTACTGTGTCTCTGGGCACTCTCTGACCAGAGTTGCTATATTTTTAATCAGCTTTCTTACAAACTGTTGACACAGTACATTTAACAAAGTATGGCATAATAGTATCTCATAATATTAGGTTCAGCTGAACCGCTAGGTTTAGCACTTTTATTAGTTATCATAGCTGGTTTTTAATTATAAATGAAATTATTAATCCACACATGGTTACTCTTGTTTAGTTTCTCCCAGGCAACTGTAGCCAATGATTATGTTAAAATAAATATTATCACTGGAATTGCCCTCTTTTTCACTATATTCTTCTAATGGGAGGTTGGGAAGTGCAGCATTAAATCAGCAGCATTAAAAAGTTGGGGGGTGACAAATGATACTTTATTAAATCAGATGCATGAGACTTTTATGTATAGCATGGGGCATAAATGTTTAAAATACATACATACATACATACATACATACATACATCATTAGTCATTTTCTTTATGCTTGGATCCGGGCATAATTCCCAAAAGTGTATTTGTTGCCTTATGTTGAAACCCATCAGTCAGATCTGTTCTGATTAATGTTTTCCCTCCAAATTTCTCTGAAATTATATCATTTAGAAATTTATGGCTTCTTAAAATAGAGATAAAATAGTATGCATGTAAGCAAATTTTGCTAATGTTAGTTTCAGTCCAGACTCCTCTAGAACCTTGACTTGGTCATGATCAAAAAATACAAAGTAAAGAACAAAGGTATGCTTATCCACCTAAAGATAGTCCTGCCAATTCCAGTTCTAGCTACTCATTTAATATACATAAAATGGGTCCAAATTAGCAAATTCTGTAATATCTCCAAAGTCTTTATGACTTGGAAAGTGCTATGCTATACATATCTGTTGGGGAGTAAGTGCTCTGCAGTGGGACTTATGTGCAGCAAAATATGTACAGGATCGCCACCTAAATATAATCAAAAGCCTTTTCTGGGTTCTGAACTTGCTCTTTACACTAAAAATAAGAACCATGGCCAATGTCTGTGGAAGGATCTGCAGTACCATGCCAATCTTCACTTGAAAGTCATATTGGGCAAGTGTCACCTGCTGGTTATTATGGCCTAGCAGTACTAATAATGATTCATTCCAGTAAATATTTCAATAGATGTGATGCTTTTCTGCATTTTAATTGGTAGCTTATTATGCACCTCTACCAGTGAAATTTAGATGATTTCTGACTTTATGTTCTCAAAGTAATAGCTTGGCTTTAGTTTTCTTTTTGAATAATCCTTTTTATGTAGATTTTTATCCTGCAAGTGAAAAGGTTTACAATAATTTCAAACTGCTTTTTGAAAGGTTGTTTTCTTTTTGTTTTCAGCTTGTACTCATGGAGTAGCTGAAGGATCAGAAATTTAAATCATAATTTGTAAATTGCATTAGTGGTTAAAAATATAAGTTTATTCATGAAGTCAGAAAAGAGACCAGGGTGATTCATTCATCATTAAGCATAGATTTCACAAATACCTGTTTCTTATGGATTTAGGTGTAGAACTATTGCTTAGTTTTGTTGGTGTTGTCCAATACCTTTTACCAAATTAAGCCACAATCCAGTGGTAGCTACTTTGGTATAAGCCTAATTGAAATGAAGTTGCTCTGGGCACGTTTATCTGTCCTGCATAATTCTCATAAACTGATCATGCTTGAACTCCTTAGGACTCTGATCCGGTAGGGATGCAGTAGGTGGCTTCCTGAAAACCCAGGTCTGTAAATCATAAGCCACTGCTAGCATGGCAACCAGAGTTCACATTGGTGCGCTTATAGTGCTGAAGCTGGCTTAGGGCCAACTGAGGGGAGGGACGGTGAAATCTCCTTCAAAGATGGGAGGAAAGAACAGGAAGGACTGATGTTCCTGAGGTTGGTTTCTTCACTGGAAAGCGTTAGTTCATGGGTGTGGTTCTTGTTAGATGGTATGAGTCAGTCACAAAAATGATTTGGGGGAGGACTGCTTGTTCTTAGGAAGAGCCCATTCTGTCCTCCCTCATACAGCCAAGCAATGTTTAAAGCTTGGGGATGTGAGTTTTAAAAACAAGACAACTTGGACGGGAGGGTCATGTTGTATTAAGATTACAGTATGCCAGGAGGTGAGTTGTGTTCGTTTGTTTAGCTGTTACATTTATATGCTGCCATTTTCTTCCAAGGAGCTCACGTTAGCTTACACGATTCTCCTGCTCCTGCTCCAATTCATCCTCACAGCAACCCAAGTCAGTGATCAGCCCAAAGTCACCCAGTAAGCATCAGGTCCAAGTGAGGGGCTAGTACACAGCTGCCCCAAGATTTAGTCCAGCACTCACACTACCATACTGCACCAGGAGCATTAAGTTTACTTTACTTAGCTTAGAATAAAATCAATTGCAAATCGTATTACAGATATTATATATGTTAGGAGGCCAGAGGGAAATAGCTTCGGGGCTGGTAGTATCACCTTCTATCCTAGGAGGGGCCCCAGTGGTGATGCTGGCCACGCACTTTTGCAAATGAATGGCCCCACCTGGTCTTTGAAGTGCGATCCAGTCACTATTCTCATTTACTGAAAAAGGCTGTTAGTGCAGCATCCAGCAAGGGAACTCTGGGCAGTAAAGTAGCAGTGAGACCCGCGTCCTGCTCAGAGGGCTGCTGCTGCTGCTGCTACTGCTGCTGGCCCACACTGCCAGGTGACCTCAGCAGTAGGGCTCAAACGAATCCTATCAGAATCCATCCTTCCAAGCAGTTGTGGGCTGAGCTGAAAGGAACTCTGTGAATGCTTCTGGAGCCCTGGCTGTGTAATCAGCTGCCTTCTTGAGTGTCAAGTGCAGCAGCTCAAGTGATGGCTGTAAGTGGCGTGGAAGAAGGCAATGCACTCCGGGATGCTGGGTGCGCCGGTCTGAGAAGCTGAGCCCAGTGGATTCCCACCCCGCAAGAGATTCCTCACCCGTCTCTGCTCAGCAGGGCCCACTGTCGGAGCTGAGGAGGACCCCACAGGGCACTTTGTCCAGGATTCCTGCAAATCCAGAGTGGGCCCTGCTCCAGCTCATTTGCACCCTCACAAGTCCCAGTCCAGCCCTTGAACTCCAACACCGCACATGTGCCGATTGAACCCCTTTTCTTTCCCAGCGTGGTTCCACAAAATCCTTGTGCCAGAAAGGCTTCCCTCTTGTGCCAAACGACAGTACCTGGAGGAAAAGGCTCTCCTCAGGATCATGGCACAGCAGGGATGGGTGGCTCAGCTTGCTGCAGTTCAAACCCTGCTCTGGGCCCTGTGGGTGCTCTTTGAAGCTTAAAAACAAGCCTCTTTTCCCAAGCTGTGCATTTAATGTAATGTGTACCTTGGCCCTCCATATGTGTATGTAAAGCTGTTGAACAGGATTGCATGGAGGCGTAAGGACACTGCTTTAAATTTGACCCAGTTCAACGCTTTCAGTGTTTACGCAGGCTGTGCCCTGGCTAGTGAATCAGTGCAGTCTGCCCAGATGTGCCAGAATCCACATATTTCTGAAATAATACTGCTGATGGTCCTGCGACCTGGGCAGGATAGGGACTCCTTCTCTTAGTGGGTATCCACTTCCTTTGGAAACTTTTAGCTTCGTGTCTCATCACTTTGCCTGAGCCTCTGGG